AGAGAGAGAGAGAGAGAGAGAGAGAGAGAGAGAAAGCGCAGCGCATGCTGAAAGCTCCCCTTCTATCGATCGATCCGCACCCGAGGTTACTCGTTCGTTTTCCTTCAAAAGCTTCGCGAACGTCGACACGGTTTAATCGTATCGCGAATCCTACGATTCGCGAAGTTACGAAGGGGGACATAATATTTTTTCATTTTTTCTCTATAACACCTTTTATATTACAATTCATTTCATTATTATCATAATTATCTGTATATCTAACATATATATATATATATATCGATTTATTTAAACCAACATAAGTATTTTAAATCTATCCGTCACATTATTATCTCCTCTTCCATTTGTCTTTGTGTGTGATTCTTATTCTGTCTGTCTGTCTGTCAGTCTGTCACTTCTATCATTTTATTTTCAATCATTTCAATCGGTCTTCTTTTCTATTTATCCTTATATTTTTATCTCGTCGATTTAGTTATACGTGTTTGTTAAAAAGTTTTCAATTATTTCTTTTTTTTCCTTTTAATTTTTCTTCCCATTCTTTTTCCATTCCATCTACTACTACTTTATTTTCTATTCCTTTCCCTCTTTCTATTTTTCTTTTCTCCTACTACTATTACTACTATACTACTACTACTCCGTCTTCCTTATCTTCAACGAACTACGAATTGTAGGATAAAAATCTCGTGGAAACGAAGAATAATCCGAAAGAAAAGTACCGTCGTCATGGCGCACCGAAGCGAATCCTTCAAAGGACTCTGCCTATTGTGTGAGTTTTCTCATCTCTTTCCATTATTTTTTTATCTATCTATCTTTTCTATATATCCTTTTTTCGTTTCCTTTTATTTTCTATATCTACGGATTTGACAATATCTTATTGAATTATTCCCAAAATCGTCTTCTCTCTCTCTCTCCCTTTTTTTTCGTTCATTCGTTCATTCAAAAAAAAAAAAAAAAGAATATGAAGATGTTATCAATCATAGAAATCCCTTAGAAAGTATTATTTTTTCTTTACCTAAATGTACTCTTTTTGGATTATTGTTCACAATTTTTTTATTTTTTATTTACCATTATATATATATTTTAATATATTTAATATACTCGTCTTGTGTGTAACAATTAAATTATCATGAAGTATAATATACTTTCATTTATTATTCTTACCTTTGTACACCTGTTCCATTTTTTTTTTTATTTATTTAACGGCGAAGAAACATTATTACAATTAATAACGTAATATATATATACGATTATATTATTAATGAATACTTCGATTCATTATTCTCAATATATTCTACTATTTTTCTTTTGTTTTTCATATTCATTCTTAAACATTTAAAAAAAAAAAAGAAAGAAAAAAAAAATATAGATACATACGTTTCTATCTTCGGCGGAACGTAGCACGGAAACGTGGTTTAATTGAAATGCTTCCTAAATCGAAAATGATCCAACGTCACGCGCAAATTCATTCTCGCGTGTCCTCTCCCCCTCCCCCTTCTCTTTTACCCCTTTTCCGCTTCTTGCCCCTTCCCCCGCCCCAACCCCTTTTACGTTCACCTCTACCTTCTAGTTTTGCCTCCTACCTGTCTTCCTACATTTTGCTTAATGAAATTTCTCTTTCTATTCCCTATAGGGTGTGTCTTGGGCAACGTGTTCAGTGTTCCCACCCCAACACCCTCGCCATTAAAATCGGAAGACGTACGATACACGACACGTAGGATACCGAAAACTATAGTTGATTTGCCTACACAAAGAAGTAGATCACCAATCGTAAGTATTTTACAACGAATACTTTCATTTATTATATAATATTTTCATTTACTTTGTTTCGTTACTTTTTGAATTCTTTTGTAAAAAGAAAAAAAAAAAAACAAGGAAAATATCGGGGTTAGATGGATGAAATATAAATGAAATTTAATTTGATCATATCGGATATATTAATTTAAAAAAACACGTAAGTGGTTTTTTTTATATATTAAAAGTATCATTAAATGAAGATCCGTTAATGTCGCTAATAATTTTGTATTAATTAATTTAAGTATACTGAATTATAGTATAAAAAAGAAAACTTTCATTTACATATTTGTAAATACAATTATTCGATTAAAGTATAATTATTTTTCTAATAATCGTCACCGAATATTATTTATATTGAATAAAACATTACTACTATTTCATTTGATTAAACTTTTATCACATCGATTATAACAAAATTATTAATAACGAATAAATCAAGTTATATTCGAAGAATAATATATTTGTAAAATATAGATACTTCGAAGGGAAATTTTTTCTAGGCGAAATTTTTCCAAGCGTAATGGAAACGTAGCAAAATGTAAGATTCACAATTACTCATTTTCTCGTTAAACATAAAAAAGAGAAAAAAGGAAAAGAAAGAGAGAAAAAGTAAGAAAGAGAGAGAGAAAAAAATAGGATAAATAGGAAAAATGCGAATAACGAAATGTTTTATATCGTTCTCATTTTTCGTACAGTAGTACATATTCATGATTTTAATTATTTGTCTGAATTATTGACTTGTACTACTAGTACACTCTCTGCGGACCAAATACGTTTCTCAACTTATTTATGCACGTTTACTCATGAATAAATGAATCTTTCTGTACACTATGAAAATCCATACGCATTGTGTCGAATGTGTCAATGACTTGGAACGATGTAAAAAAAATATATATATATTTTTTTTTGTTTTATTTTCTAAACAACGTAATTGCTGTCAATCGATGTTAACCGTTTCCACAGTTACGAGAACTCGTAGACAATTGTTTGATCAGTTAATAATTCAAATGTGCTTTTTCTTAGTATGGTGACCTTTTCTTTTAAGTATAAAGATTGTTGTACGATGTTTTAAGTATAGACACGTATAAATATTTTTATGCACAAATGACCTTTTCCAAAGGAAATGAAAAGAAAAGGGGATGATGGTTGGTAAGAATGGAAAAATAAAACCTACGCTTTTGATGATATCATCATACCGTTAATATAATACGTCATAGTTATGCAAATTTTTCCACGAACGTTTACCTTAACAATCAAATCTGATTAAGACGAAAACCGCAAATAGTGTGCGGTGTGGTTACTCGTTGACTAATTCCAAAAGTTTCTTACAATGATTTTCATTCGATTCTTAATTTAATTCACGTGATTTAAATTAACAAGAAGGATTCGTGGTACAACCAAAAGACGATTGTTCCTTGAATATGTAATACTTCAAAGATTTTCTCTTTATCTCTATTTCTATCGTTTCTCTCTACGTTTACTCGTTTTAATGTTTAAATAAACGAAAGGAAGGAAAAGTAAGAGAGAAACGTTTCTTGCTTTAAGAAAATTATCTTACAATATACACTTGTATATAATTTTTGATTTAATATTTCATTTATAAATTCTAAAATCTCACAAATGATATTTCGTTTAACTTTGCATATTATAATAATTCATTATTTTTATTTAATATTTTCTATTTCAAAAATACAAGTCCACTTTTGATTCGTTTTAACGCTAGTAAAATAATTTACAATAATATCTATTCAAATATATTAATTAAATGTTAAAAGCAAAAACGATACTTTATTGTAGTACGTTTATCTTTTTTTTTGTTTTTAAATACAATATTTTCATTTAACCTACACATTAATTAATGAATTATTGTTCCTTGGCTTTAATAAATCTTATTTTATTAATTCTTAAATACGATTATGTAATAATGATGATTGACTAAAATATTTTATAGAAACAAAGGCTTATATTGTTTAAAGTAAACGCATGAATGAATTATTACTTTCTCTATTCTTGTATTATATTATTATTATTATTATTAATTATTAATTATTATTTTATAGACATAAACTATAGAAATT